ACGTTTATAGAAGTTGTCTTGCTGAAATAAGCAGGGACATCCCTGAGAAAGACAGCGTCTAGAATGCAGTACATGTTGCTGTAAAACGTGTATGAATCCTAGATGCACTGACCAGCCACTTCATTAAAACCACCTCCTAGTTTCTACATTTTATCAGCTCCACTGACCATATAGTTTCACTCTGGTCAGGACCCCCACAGAGCAGGTATTATTTGGGTGGTGGGTCATTCTCAGCACTGCAGTGACACTGACGTGGTGGTGGTGTGCTAGTGTGTGTTGCGCTGGTACGAGTGGATCAGACACAGCAGTGCTGCTGGAGTTTTTAAACACCTCAGTGTCGCTGCTGGACTGAGAACCAAAAACATCCAAAAATATGCTAAGCCATTGCTATGGTATTCCAGGTGGTTGCTAAGGTGTTGCTGGGCAGTTGCTGTTATCCCAGGTGGTTGTTAAGTTCTTGTTAGGCCATGGGTATGGTATCCCAGGTGACTGCTAAGGTGTTGCTTGCATAATTGTGTGATGGTGAAATAACAGGAGTGCCTAAAACATTTGGCTACAGAGTGTATCCTGACTGGCAGCATTAGAGGTAGAGGTATAAGCATTATATGAGTGGAGTCAGTTTCAGGATGTTGAGCATCTGCCCAATCTCGAAAAAACAATCGTGGTGCAGAAGGTGCACAACTCGGATGAACTCAATGACAAAGCAAATAAAGCGCTAGTCAGGTGTGTCTGTTTATTTTAGGCTTTCCTTTTCTTTTTTATTGGCCTGTTTTGTTTCCTTGATAATTATCTTCATGTTAGTTCTGTTAAGGTGCAGCTGAAGCTCTTTCTCTAAATATTTGATTGTGTTTGCAAACAGAGCATTAAGGATATTGTAATCTTTTGACACTCTAAACGTGGATGTGAGGTGAAGTACAGGGTAGGAAACGGTGTCCAACCAGTTAAGTGCTTTATTGCAGTGGCTGCACGAATCATGAAAGAATGCAGGATCACTAAAGTTATTAATGCTTCCTTGTGAATACACTGTTGTTGGTCCTGAATGGTGGTCTATGAAACCTTTAGTATCAAGTGCCACAGATGAACTTTGAGGCCATTTTCATGTTTTGTGTGTTATTATGCATTGATTTGATCCTAGTACATAGGCTTATCTAAGTAAGACTTCTTACAAGGATCAAATAGTAAACTTGGTAAACAGATTATTTTTACAAATTATTATTATTATTATTATTATTATTATTGATGGAACGACTTTGAATTCTCTTATGAAAGTCACAAAATAACTTCTTTATGTCGACGTCAGTTCACGCAGTGTTTTCTGCTCCTCTGGTTACTCTTACATTAATAATATTTGGGATACTTTCGTTATGCCTGCCTCCGCCTCCCAGGACTGATGCTGTTGAACTGACGGTAAATGTGCCACATCCTCAAGAAGAAGCAGATGAGAGAGCAGTGCAGTGCATCTACACTTAAAAAGTAACGGTGAGAGCTTTTCTTTGTCCTTTATGTATTAAAGTCTGTTGTGATAAAGTGGATAAAGTGTGGTTTAGCTACTACTGATTCATTTCCCTAATTAGAGTGAACAGCGTTAGTTGCTTATTAGCAGAGGTGGGTTGTATGTAGTTACATTTGCAAGATAGTAAGATTTTGATGGATGTGTACTTTCCTGAGTATTTTCAAATGAATATTATTTCACTGCTTCTTCCACCCATTTCTCAGATTTTCTGCACAATACAGTTTAGGTGTAAACAAGCTGATTCACAATGTCAAACCCTCTATTCTAAGGAAACTTTCCCACTCTGATTTCTTTACTCTAGACACTACTGAACACACCGATGTAGACTGAACGCACAGACCTTAAGCATCACTGCACACCTGCAGTGTAATCCTTTAAACCTTATTCTCTGAAATGCTTCTGTAGGACCCCATTCCATCTGTATTGTGTTGTTGTCCTGTCTAGTTGCTTCATGTGTATTCGTCATGTATATTTATTGTCCTGTATGTTTATTGTCTGGTTTATTTATTCTGCACTCGTTCCACACTGTCGAGGATCTGTGCTCTGTGTAGACTACTTGACATGACTACAGAGGTGGTGATAGGAATCAACATAATTATGGTCATTTTATTTACTATCCACAAACCACCAGTGGACCTACACATCTTATGAGATTTTATATGTAATGCTGATAATGGTAGAATAACGTTAAGTCTAAAAATCACAGGTGCTATTTTGCCTTACAACGCCCTGCATGTACTCCACCACCTGTGTTTCTCTAGAACGGAGCATTTTATATTGTAAGGCATAAAACTGAGTGATTGAAGTCTCTCAGTCGAATTAAAAAAAGAAGACAAGCAATAACAACTTATTCTGATCAGCTTTTGCTCTTTACTTCAAAGAAAACCGAAGTCAATTCTCCGTTCTACCTGCTGCTTCACCGTTATGCATGCGCTGTCATGTGGTTAATGCCTATTTGTTTGCTGCCAGTTAAAGAAAAATGTTAAAGCAGATAAACAAATCTCAATATTAATCTGCTCTCAGTGACTTTACAGTATAACCGTTAAATTGTACAGACATTCTGAAAAATTGGTGGAATTCCCATTTAGGTATATTTGTAAATAAAGTACTTTTTACTGAGTAGTTAACATTTATTTACTTACAGAGCCCCTAAAGTGACCTGATTAATTTTTATTAAGGTATGGTCACAAATGAATATACTGAGTTTCTCTTTCCGATATAGTAATATGTGGTTCAGTATATTAATTTGAGGCCTCAGTATATTAATCTGTGGCTTCAGTATAGCAATTCGTAGCCTCAAGATAGTAATTTGTGGTCTCAATATAGTATTTTGTGGCCATGTCTTATTAAAAAATAATCACCGTGTCACAGCTTTGTGATTGCTCACAACTCTCACTTTGGAGCTTCAGCATTTTACCTTAGATCTTCTGAATGTACTCAGATGTTCCTCTGAAGTTGAGTACTTTTTACCTAAGTGTGACCCCTGATCATTAGCAATATTAGACTGTATGCTGTAAATGAGATGCCAACTTCGGAAAAATGTCTCATTATCCATTAGAAATGGAGGCTAAGTGGATATTTCCCTTCGTGCCTATTGCAATGGCTTTCATCCTGTTGAGAGCTGAGACTACTGCCGCCGTATCCGTCTCAAATGTAAGTATAAATTGTACTGTTTTTAAAATTATTTCATGCTTGATTTTTCTATTTTTGCTGGTATATCTATATTCAACATAATTTTAATGCAACTCTATGTGCTTAAAAGCTGCACAAAACTAAACTGCAGTTGAGTAGCACAATGTGAAGCATCCTGGAACTCATTTGAAACACAGCTGCCAAATTTGCAGGTGGCTCAACTTCATGAAACAAGCTTTAGGAAACAGGCCGTCAAAATGCCAGTAACGCATCACATGATCGTGCAGACATACTTTAAAAGGACTTCGCTGTATAAACAAACAAGAAAATAAAAAAGAAGAAGATAGTTTCTTGAAAAGAAAAACCAACATATAACACTCAATATATATTAGAAAACCATAGCCAGATAGATAAAGAGCAAATATACAGATTAAAAATAAAAATTAATCAATTAAATTATTAATCTCAGCGTTACTGAGCTCTGCTAAAGCCTGAGTAGACTGATAAATCAATGTGATCAGTTATTAATCTCAGTGTTACTGAGCTCTGCTAAAGCCTGAGTAGACTGATAAATCAATGTGATCAGTTATTAATCTCAGTGTTACTGAGCTCTGCTAAAGCCTGAGTAGACTGATAAATCAGTGTGATCAGTTATTAATCTCAGTGTTACTGAGCTCTGCTAAAGCCTGAGTAGACTGATAAATCAGTGTGATCAGTTATTAATCTCAGTGTTACTGAGCTCTGCTAAAGCCTGAGTAGACTGATAAATCAGTGTGATCAGTTATTAATCTCAGTGTTACTGAGCTCTGCTAAAGCCTGAGTAGACTGATAAATCAATGTGATCAGTTATTAATCTCAGTGTTACTGAGCTCTGCTAAAGCCTGAGTAGACTGATAAATCAATGTGATCAGTTATTAATCTCAGTGTTACTGAGCTCTGCTAAAGCCTGAGTAGACTGATAAATCAATGTGATCAGTTATTAATCTGTGTTACTGAGCTCTGCTAAAGCCTGAGTAGACTGATAAATCAATGTGATCAGTTATTAATCTCAGTGTTACTGAGCTCTGCTAAAGCCTGAGTAGACTGATAAATCAATGTGATCAGTTATTAATCTGTGTTACTGAGCTCTGCTAAAGGCTGAGTAGACTGATTTTTTATTTTTTTTCTAGAGGACACGTAACCCAAAGCTAACATGACAAAGCGTTTCTTCAACACGCTGCAATACACACTGAATTTATGTTGTAAATGCAACACACGTGATTAATTTTGTTCTGTTGGAGTTGATCTGTTGAGTAACTCAGTTAATATAAGTAAGTGACTGTAATGCTTGACTACTTTGTGACAGGATAAAGTAACACCCAACACTACGTTGACCAGTTTTCTGTTCTTTGGGGAAAGATGTCAGAATGTTTACCTGTGGTAAATGACCGTACGCAACAGATATGACAGACCTCTGTATACGATTGGGTCAGAAAATGCTGGAGTTTTTCTTTAAGTCTGTGTTTCTTAATGCTGCTCCCAGACTCCCTCTGCCATGCAGAGTTTCAGCTGTGCCCTAAAACACTGGTCCAGCTTGTCTGCTAATTGTTCAGGCCCTAATGAGCTATATAAGGTGTGTTGGGACAGGGAGTAATTGTAACTGCACTGGGCAGTAGGTTGAAGAAACACTGCTTTAAGCTGACAGGATCCCAGACTGCAGGATGTTTGATCTATGATTATATTTTTTTGTTGTCATCTTGTGTTTGACAGATGAGTATCTCAAACCAGGGATGTAACCAGACCAAGTTTTGCTTGTCCAAACCAGATAAATGTGATCCTGCAGCGTCTGGCTCCTGCTTTTTTCTCTCTGTAGGGGGGACACCCAACTCAACCAACATCACCATTGAGCTTAGTGGACGATCCAGCGGCTACCTCGCTATGGTATTTCCAGTTAACCGGGTAAGATGATTACAGAAACTGGTTAAATTGTAGATTATAGAATGGAAAAAACACAACTCCTGCCTTTGTTTATATCATATTCATTAGTGAACTAAACCCATATTAGCATCAGACGACTTGAGAACACATGCATGTTTCTAATTGAGTGTCTGGTGCCGTTATTTGTATTTGAGTCTTTGACTTTTCCCAAATCAGCATGGCTTGTAATCAGATAGTAATATTAATCATGTGCTGTTGCTTTTAGGGAAGTAATATCAATATCTATGCCTGTGCCAGTGACAAAGGAGTTTTGAAGCTCATCCACGCAACTCTGCGCAACAGTCCCACACCAACTCAGGTTATCTCAGTAAGTCAAATTATTGCACTGTGAATGTAGGAGCTTTCAGGTTCTCTCAGAGACAAAACATTTATATGACTTTTTAGAAACCAGTTTGAAAATTCTTATGGCTTTAATAAAAGCTTTTAATAAAAGAGTTTAAAATTTACCAAAGTAGGCATGGTGCAACTTTCAACAGATGCCCAACGTCAACACATGAGTTTAAAAGTTTTTTATATATATATATATATATATATATATATATATATATTCAGGTATTCAGGCACCATTCCACTGTTTGACACCATGTCCATTTGTCTGGGGTGCTGGACGTTGTGTATCCATGATTGGACCTATTCTAATGGAAACTGACCACTATACAGCACTTCTGAGACGTTGTTTTAGTACTCGCCAACAGATATTTTCATATTAGATCAGAGCACAGACTGTTCAGAGGATGGGTTACAGAAATATATTCAAGGTATTGGTTTTTATTCAAGAGCACCTACAGCTTTCTGGGCATAGTAGAATACATATAAAATGTTTAGAGAGTAACCTGCGTGTAAAAATCTGTTAAAAGCTAGCCATATTAAAAGAGCATCTACCTGGCATCGTCAGCTTCATCTACACCGAAAGGTAAAATCACCTGCATGTTTATTTTGAAATGCAACCGTACTTTTTGGCAATAGAACAGACTAGAAATAGTGGAAATACGGGAAAAGTAACCATTTCTGTCGTTATTAAGGAAACTTACTGTGTGTTTGGATGGTCCTCGTAAAGTTGAGAAGTTGTCATGTCACAGTAATGTAACTACCAGTTTGTGTTTATGTGGACATTGCATATTTCTCCTGGAATGGACCAATGGCATCGCTCACTGCGAATAAAACAGGTCATTCTATCATGATTGTGTGGTTTCAGAGTACTATGCCTCACTGGAGTAATTAATAAACTTAGAAGCTCAGGTAACATGGAACTTGCCCAATTCTTACCACTTTTCCAGGCTTTGTGTGCTGATAAAAGATCTTTGTGGTAAACTCGGAAATTCATGAGTTAATGAGGACCATATGAACGCACAATAAGAATTCGTATTTTCAAACTATGTGGTGTAAATACTCCAAAATTCTTCATCATTTTTAAAACCATTTTACTGCAATCCTTGACATCTCCAGGACTAGAAACAGACTTTTTCTGTTTTTTCTCATGACTTTGTAAAGCTTGTGTTTTGTCATGTGTGTGTGTGTGTGTGTGTGTGTGTGTGTGTGTATGTGTGTATATAATATATATATTATGGCAAGCCAAACAGGAAATATTTAATAAACATTGATACATTGATATATATACAATGAACGTTGATATATATGCAATGAACTTTGATATATCTGGAATGAACGTTGATATATATTGAATGAAAGTCGCTGTTGAAGGGTTGAGGATGGCCAAGAAAAACTGTACATCAATAAATGGGCATTAATAAACTCCAGGTAGAGCTTAAAGGAAGGGAATTCTCATAAAGTGACCAGTATCTATGCACAGTGATCCCGTGGACAGAGTGACCTGAGAGTGGCTGATATATGATGAAGCTACAGATGGGTGGAGCTTCAATATATACATAATTTGACATGGTGCTGAAGAAGAGTCAGATGAGGCCATAACTTCTGTTTGAAAGCAAGGGAAAACAGTGCCACTTGAAAAGCAACTGAAAATTGAGGTAGGTCACTCCTAGCCCTGCTCTTTCTTCTGATGGTCACCAAACACAAACACACTCTCCCTAACTCTGAGCTGGACACAAAATAACACAGTAAACAAACACATACACACACTGTAACTGAAGAACAACAACAAGCAACATTAAATAACAATGTAAACAGTCTGTTTGGGGGGGGGGTGCAAGGCTACAACACACACAATCTCTGTCTGAACAAAACATTTTATGAATTATATTATTCATTTTTTCATCTCAATGTTCGATCCATGTACATCAAGGTTCATTCAATAAATATCAATGTTAATTCCACATATACCAATGTTCATTCGATATACCTCAGTAGAACAAAGATTGAAATATATTGAATGAACATTGATATATAATATATATTGAATGAACACTGATATACATGGAATGAACTTTGATATATATACAATGAACATTGATATATATTGAATGAACCTTGATGTACATGGATCGAACATTGAGATGAAAAAATGAATAATATAATTCATAAAATGTTTTGTTTAGACAGAGAGGGACTTTTGGGGTTGTGTGTGTTGTAGCCTTGCACCCCTAAGCAAAAAAGACTGTTTACATTGTTAATGTTGCTATGTTGTTGTTCTTCAGTTACAGTGTGTGTTTGTGCTTGCTCTGTTATTTTGTGTCCAGCTCAGAGTTAGGGAGAGTGTGTTTGTGTTTGGTGACCCTCAGAAGAAAGAGCAGGGCTAGGAGTGACCTACCTCAATTTTCAGTTGCTTTTCAAGTGGCACTGTTTTCCCTTGCTCTCAATGAAAGACCATTTTTCAAACAGAAGTTATGGCCTCATCTGACTCTTCTTCTGCACCATGTCATGTATATGTATGTCATGTATTATGTATATATTGAAGCTCCACCCATCTGTGTCTTCACGTCATATATCAGCCACTCTCAGGTCACTCTGTCCACGGGATCACTGTGTATAGATACTGGTCACTTTATCAGAATTCCCTTCCTTTAAGCTCTACCTGGAGTTTGTTAATGCCCATTTATTGATGTACAGTTTTTCTTGGCCATCCTCAACCCTTCAACAGCGACTTTCATTCCATATATATCAATGTTCATTCCATATATATCAAAGTTCATTAAATATTTCCTGTTTGGCTTGCCATATATACATATATATGCACGTTTTAGCAGTGTTATAACAGTGAGCCTTTGCTTTTGCAGTCCTCTGCTGGATCAGTCAGGGGCTCTGTGAACAGTTCTACCCTCCAGTGCGTGTTCACAATGAGTGCTCCGAATATGTCATCTGTGAACTCCAGGCGGAACGTTTTCCTCATCAGTGGGAGCTTCACCAGTGGTGAGTGCTTCTGCAATGAGTTACAGAGTACAATAAACTGCTCATGTTAGCAGCATATTAAGTGTGATTTTCCAGGCAAAATCAGTTTACAGTAAGATATCAGGTCTGCGTCTGACATAATCTACACTCTGTTTAAGTATCTGTATATCTGCTTGTTCGATATTATGTCCAAAATGAACGGTATTAAATCAGTGCTAAATTAAAGTCTAAAGTAAGTGTACTGAAGTGTAGAAGAGGTTTCTACCAGAGGTGTGGACTCAAATCATATGATTTCGACTGGAGTCTGACTAGAGTCACAAATTTGATGACTTGAGACTCGACTCGAAAATCAAGAAAGTCTTGCGACTCAACTTTGACTTGAACACCAGTGACTCAGAATTTGACTTCACACTCGAGATTCGAGACACAAAGTGAAAGAAGCATGAAGAGGCGTCTGACCACCAACGGCTACACAGTCGGTCACTTTTCATCTGAGTGGATTCGTTTCCTACCGTAAATTGAATGCATGTTTAAATTCGATTCAAACTAGCCGTTCTAACTTTGGCGGTTTTGTGGACGAGGCTTTGCAAGTGACTCTGATGGGAAGGGCTGTATTTGTTTGACTGTTGAGTTTCAGAGTAGTTTGCTTCAGCTGACGTTTGCCTTTAAAGTCAACATGAATGGGAAATCATGATGCGTTTTCCTTCTGTAATGTGATGATTTTGAAGTGAAACATGGTATCAGGGAGGGTCTCTGAGCTAGCGGAATGTTTTCCCTTGATGATAGGTAGGGGTGGTAGAAGGTAAGGCTAAGGAGAATGGGAGGAACTGCAGGGCCAAAGTGCAGAATGGTAACTGAAGAGAACAGAGCCTTGCTTAGTTTGCTAGCTACTTAGCTAAGTTAGCCAGTTCATTCATTCTATTTGTAAACTAAAGCCACAGTGTGGTGATGCGTGACAGGGTAAACATAGGTGATCGGTACTGTAGTACTGCTCCAGAGAGGAAACCCAAGAGCTTTGAATCTCATAGAACGCAAACCAACCCATAAGCTGTGTTCTCAGGGGTAGAGTGAGCCTCACCTCGCCTCGCTGAAATGTATAAATAGCAGAAGCAATATAATCAATATAGGAGAGTAGGAGGCGTGGCTGTGCAGAGCGACCACATGCACTTCTGGGAGGCGCAGCGTTTGCAAGAGGAGGGGCATTTATTGTAAATAAGTTGTTTTTAGCTTAATGAACATGTATTGATGTACATGTGTTTGTGTTATTCTGTGCTGTACTGAGTGGTAGCTGGTGCAGTGTTAGTACCTACTGTCAGGGGAAAGTGTATATAGAAGTGACCTGTCTACTATCTTGGCTGTTTCAGCAGTGCTGAGCGGTGGTTCTTCCTTGGGAATCTGTTGAGAAGGGAGAACCTCCCTTCAATAATACAGCTTTCACCTTTAAAGCAATGTGTTTCCTTCTTCTTCGCTGGCACCACACTGGTGTCAGAATTGGGACAGAATGCAGAGTGACTCAAATCCCCTGTTTGTGCATCTATCTGTGTGCATGCCAGGCTTAAAATGTCAATTTGGCAAAGCAGTAAAATGTAAATTTTATTTCAAAAGTGCTCTTTAGCAACATTGTGTGAACATTTTATGATTATTGTTCAAAATGATCCAATTATTGGAAATTACCCAAATTTACTGTGGGCAAAATCCTGTGCTGATATCTTGCCTCTTTCCTCTACAAAGTTATAAATGTTAAAATAGTGACAATGTGCTTTTTAATTTTTTTTTACAATATATGCTGAATGCATGTGACACTGTTTGGTAGTGCTTCTATGAGACGACATCACTGTAAGATCATTCAAATCTGATCTAATGCAGGTCAGAATGCTGATACAAACAGTTCTTGTATTCGTGTTTATGTGTTTGAAAACACACAATGTCAAAATCCTTTATTTATCTTTATGTTAGGAAAACTGGGGACCCCGGTGATCAGAGTTTCCACCAATAGCTCAGCAGATCTCTACATTCCACCACCTTCAATCCCCAGCTCTATAGGTGAGAACATTAGAACCAGATTAGATTCACTTTAGTGTGGTTCACAATCATCTATGAAGAGCAACCGTTTTTCAACTAAATATGGCTTTTCATGCAGTTAATCGCCCACAACACATTTTCACTAAATGGACATAAGTGCAAAGGAATAAGCCTGGTTGTTATGTTTCTGACGTATGTGTCGGATGCTGTCTGCTGCTTGTGTTTGTTCTCTTTTTGTGTCATGCTGGTTTGAGAACAGCCATGTATATGCCTATAATAATAAGCAAAACAGCTAATGATTACTAAACTAACTAACCTGAAAGCAAAAGACAGGAAAATACACCAAACTACCCACAAACTACTACCTCCCTGTTAAAAACTAGGAAAAAAGGGTAAAAAATGGCACCACATGTCACTCGTCCCCTACTTCCTGCAAAAAATCACAGAGTTCCACAGAATCTAACAAAGGTTGTACGGATTTAACAGAGCAGGCGCAGCGAAACAGAGCAGAGTGGAGTGAAGGGTGCCAGGCTGGTCTGGACAGGTGTACTTCCTGGTCACATCAGAGGGGAGAGAGCCCTGAAGGTCTAACAGGTAGTGACTTGGTGACCTCTGTTATACAGGAGGGTGCCCACATGTGGCCATTCATGAACCTGCATGTATTGCAACACACAAAAAAGAGAACAAAACACAAGCATGTTTTATAAGCCTGAGTTCTGTTATTATGGGAAGAGAAAACTGCATGTAGTACTAAATGCAAACGTATTCTGCTGAAGTTCCCACAGTAAGTGAAAATAGCTTGTGTGTTATTGTTGAGTGCTGGAGCGCTGCAGTCTTGCTTCTATAGGTACATTTATGTATTTTTGAGAATTGACATTAGGTAATTCATTAATCTTCACATTCTTAGATGTCGTTTAGTTCACGTGTACCGATGCCCAGCCTGAATGTTTAATCATATTTTTTATACAAATATTTTTATGGAACACTTGTCTGGTTCAAGCAACATAGTACTGTAATGAGTTAAGTCCGTTTGCATCATTTGACCAGACTGTTTAGCGACTGTTAAAACTAGCCCCTCTGTCTGTCATGATTAACTCGGCTATAAGGTAAGATGTTACGTTCTGAAAGAGTAGGTTCTGGAAAAAAAGTTTATGCTTTCATTTGTAGCAGAGAATTGTGGGTTTGACAAATATAATAATCTTGGTCAAATACTTTTAATAAGCAAAATTCAAAATGTGTTTGCTGTCTTCTTTTGCAAAACAATAGCTACGTTTACATGCAGCCTAATAATCCGTTAATAATCTGACTAATAGCTCAATCAGAATAGAATATGTCCATGTTTACACCTAATAATAGACTAGTCCAATTGAGGCCATTCAGAATACAGTTTCTATCTGATTGAATGAGGTGTGTAATTCTGTAAATAATCTGTTAAATAGAAGAATAATATCCGTGTAAACGCCTGTATCTGATTACATTCCCTATCAGAAAGTTTAAGTCCGTTCTGATCATGTTCGTCGCGTCATAGTGAGAGTTTATACCGTTCAACATGGCGGAGCAGAAACTGGAGTTTATGGTCTGATCTTTAAAAGACGGCGGTGGGACGGACGTCCAGCTTATGTGTCTCAGAACACGACGTCTTCCTCTCGGCCTTCTTTAATAAGGACATGTGAAGGACGTTTTCCTGAGTCTGACATCATTTTAAAGTCATTAAAAACAGAAGCACTGCTCACTGCTGCTCGTCTCACTCTGACTGGACTCGCGTGATGCTGGTTGTCATGGTAATGTTTACACTAAGTGTTTCTCTACATATGCACATAATTTTGGTTTGGATTACTTGTACCATGTAAACAGAGATTTTCCATCAGATTGTTGAGGAGAGTGAGAATATAAACATCTCAGTCTTAATCTGTCTATAATCAGAATGTTTTCAATCAGATTGGCCAAAATCTTTGCTTGTAAACACAGACAATGATGACTCTAGATTTCTAGGGTCAAACTGCACCCCCCTTAAAGGCAAATGTGAAAGTGTGAGCGTTGGGTTAGCGGGGGTTAGGGGGAGGGACACAACCACCCTTAACAAATTGCCTTAACAGACGCCATTGCATTGTATGCACTGTATTTGTACTATCGGGGACATGCTACAACTCATCTGGTGTGCAGTGGTCTTTAGGATCAACATCCTGGAGGTCATTGCTACACAAAATTTCTGTTATTAATTAGTTATTAATTAACCTGAATAAACCATTGTGAATAAACTAATCAGGTGTCATAACATTACAGTTACAAAAGTGACAATTGCTTCAAACTACTTACCAACTCAGTGTTGTTCTAATGTCCAAGTACATGACATGATGCCAATTTCCGCAGCCTTGGGAGCTACCAACAACACCAACACCATCACCAACACCATCACCAACACCAACACCATCACCACCACCACCAACATCAACACCAACACCAAAAACACCAACAATAACACCAACACCACTACCAACAACACCACCAACAATAACACCACCAACAATAACACCACCAACAATAACACCACCACCACCACCAACAACAATAACACCACCAACAATAACACCACCAACAATAACACCACCACCACCAACACCAACAATAACACCACCAACAATAACACCACCACCAACAACAACACCACCACCAACAACAACACCACCAACAACAACACCACCAACAATAACACCACCAACAATAACACCACCACCACCAACAACAACAACAACAACAATAACACCACCACCACCAACAACAACAACAACAACAATAACACCACCACCACCAACAACAACAACAATAACACCACCACCAACAACAACAACAACAATAACAACACCACCACCAACAACAACAACAACAATAACACCACCACCAACAACACCACCACCACCAACAACAACAACAACAACAACAACAACAACAACAACAACAACACCACCACCAACAACAACAACAACAACAACAATAACACCACCACCACCAACAACAACAACAACAATAACACCACCACCACCACCAACAACAACAACAACAATAACAACACCACCACCACACCACCAATAACAACAACAACAACAACAACAACAACAACAACAACACACCACCACCAACAACAATAATAACACCACCACCACCAACAACAACAATAATAACACCACCACCAACAACACCACCACCACCACCAACAACAACAACAATAACAACACCACCACCAACAACAACAACAACAACAACAATAATAACACCACCACCAACACCACCACCACCAACAACAACAACAACAACAACAACTCTGGTGGCTCATCATCTATAGGCAACAATGCACTTCAGTCCACCTCAGCTAAAGGTAAGTACCGCAGTCTGTTTCGCATATGTGCAGACTGAAAACTCCGAAAGAAATCAGAGTAAGAGTTTACATGCCCTGAGAAATCTGATTACTGAGCTAAAATCCAGCTCTCTTTGTCAGATTTTTTAATCAGATTTATAGACCTTACTCTGATCTAAGAAATTGGAGTGTGCTGTTTACATGACCATTTGAATAATCAGATAACAGCAGAAATCTAATTATGATTGGATTACTGAGTGCATGTAAACACTCTCACTGACATACTGTAACCATCTCAGCCCAGTTTTAATGCCTTCTTGCTGTGCTGTGTGAGGGTATCAGTTGTGTACTGTTGCCCAATCACTGTCTTCATCTTAACAGCAGCTAATAATCAGGTTAATGTATTGCAAAGCCGAGGTGTGCTGTATGTAGACGTGTGAGAGACACAAAAAAGATAAATGTACACTGAATTTATACTTTCAGTTTATCATTTATCTCTGTCTCTTCATTTATTTCTCCAACAGTTCCTCTTATCCTGCTTGGTGCCATCGTGGTTGCTCTGGTGTCAGGATGATGTTTGGCCTGTTAAGTTGATGGGGGATGCTGTGTGATGTGTACTGATTTAAGCATTTACATTCATTTAAAACTTGTTTTGGGTAGGTGACGGCAACCTTAGGCAATGTGCACTGCAGCACTGCAGCAATATGCCTTCACTATGGTATCATACATTTCACTTTCAGGACTTTACATTTTTATGTACCTGCTGTTATTGTAACTTCCTTAAAGTACTTGATGGGTATATTTGTATTTATTAAAAAAATGAAATAAACTGTATCAATCTCCCAGTGAGAATATATATTTTTTTATGTTCCTTCATTGTCAATAACAGCTTTGTGTTGACACTGTAGCAAATACTGTTCAGCGCTATACACTAATCTATAGGTGGGTGATATAAATGGTAAAAATGTATTATCACGATAATTGAATAGGTTTTCACAATACACAACGTTTGTTTTTTTCTGTTAGCTTGATGAATCGGAATAGAGAGAATGCGCCAGTAAAGGGTGCATTTAGAAAATACTGTAAAACCATATAAATACAGTGATGCTTCTTTGAAGTCCGTGTAAGGAAAATTCAGATTTCTTTCTAAACACTTAATACATTTTAGAAATATTTGCTGAAAACATGAACAATGTAGTAATGAATTGTAAAGTTAGACTGTTAAACTGTTTTTCATCATTTTTTGTGTTCAGGATTTTTTGGTCATGGCTTGATGACGCACTGGAGCCATACCTAGCATGATGCCTTCCCTAGCACCAGAGAACTTGTAGAGAGGAGAATTACCACTCTACAATGTCTTTAGGGTTTCTCAAACACTAGAGGGCGCTCCTGAGCGAGTCAAAAATGAACGGGTTAAGATGGAGCATTTGAGCAAAAACATGTTTTTGAATATAGTTGCTTAAACATTTTTAATATGAAAGAAGGCATTAATTTCCTGAACACAGAACACCATGAAACATTTCAACAATGCTGTTATATTTTTAGGCACCTTTGAACCACTGAGCATTGTAGTCAGGTGTCATTCTGTAGTCCACATTATGCCCATATTAGGAACTTGCATGATGACATGACTACAG